AAGAACCTGGGCGTACAAATTACAGGCCACGTAACTTTCCTGTAAACGGATTTCGTTTTAAACAGGAGAAGCAGACACAGGATGCATCTTTGTCAATTATCTCTCGTCATTAAATCATCATCTTTCTTCTTTTTGATCTGAACTATATTTCTATGTCCATAATAGTCTGATAAAGGTATGATTGTGTCTTTTTACAGCTCGCTTCACATAAAAAAAAAAAAATTAAGAAATTACAACGAGCCAAAAATATTTATTTATAGATGTCACACCTACAAAAGTTACAGCGGGATTATTTTATTTTCTATAAAGGGGCATTTGCAGCTTTATCCCTGTATGACAAAACCACATAGCTCTGACCTTCTATGTATGTGCGTTTTAACATGGCTTTCACGTGTACTGTGTATATATATAATGTTAGACTCACATCCTTTTACTGTAACATGTAGGAGCTTCTATATTTCGGTATGCAGGGGGAGTTTGAAAAAAAAGAAACATGCTGACATCAGTGCAGAGAAAATGAGGAAGGAGAAAATAAGAAATGCAAGTCTGCTTTCTGCAAGATGATTTATATATATATATATATATATATATATTTTTGTTTATTCACACATGAGTATTTCAAATAATTGCCCGGTATCTTGATAAGAGTGTGGTTATCTCATCTTCTGACAGAGTAAACTTTTAAACTCCAAGATGGGAAGTCAGTTATGATTTATTTTATATTATTTTATGAATTCTGATTATTAGAACTTAAATCTGTGTGCAAAACATCTCAGACTCAAACCTGCCAGACATTTTAACATACTCTTCTTTATAAAGAGGCAAAAACTAAACCATTGAGATTATTTATTTTAACACTCAACACCACCACACTTCAAACTTACATTACCTCAATATGACACTATGGTGGGAAGGGGATTTCAGATCATGTGTATTTTCACATGTCTGCTTCTCCTTTCTACCATACTGAGAAAAAGTATTCTTGGTGGGAAATTGTGAGTTTTGAGAAGCGACTATTGAGAAGCGAGAAGCGACTAAGTGCCGGCGTACAGGTGCCCATTTCACTTTTTTAAACGATAGCTTCTTTCAGTCAGAATATAAATATAAAATCATACTAAAAATACTTTCAGCTATATTTTCAGTCTGCATACAACAAACAGGATGATTTCTTATTCGTGCAACTTGTGATAAATCAATATTTAACAACTAATGGTTGAACACTTCACACACTCTGTGTTACTGAGAACATACACCACAAAAGCCACAGAAGACTGTTGCAGTGTAACCAAGAACAACACTGGCTCTCATTGCATCAGCCCTTACTCACTGTTTTTGTTACGTTGTTTGACTAATTGCACATTCTCATTTAATGTGAGCTCATCATTTGTTTGATAGATTGAGAAATTACGAGTTCTCCCTGATATGTGAAACCTTAAATCATAGATACTATACGCATTACAAGTGTAATGATGTTCTCTTTAACATGGAACTAATATATATGCTGTATAATGTGGGAATTGTGTTTACTTTGAATTTCTGTCTTTATTTACAGATGTTTTTTGTGCGTTTAGGCCTCTCTTAAAAAGAAGATCTTGATCTCAGTGTGAGTACCTGTTCATGTACAACACACACAGCTTCAGACACTTCGATACTATACTCTTTACAAGTGTAATGATGTTCTCTTTAACATGGAACTAATATATAT